ATTCAGTCCAACTCCTCTCCTATTCACCCTAGGCCCTTGGCACAGAAATTACTGCAGCCATCTGGCCACAGCCAAGACCATCATTGCCCTTGTCTTCCTTGTTCTTTCTTTGACTATGTCTACCTGGGAGAGTTTGAGGAGGAGCATCTATGTCAAACCACAGGCACAGAAGTTTGAAGTTCTTTTTGAACTTCTGGAAGTTGATGACACTTGGCCTGAGTTTTGATAGACAAATGAAAGTGGGAGAAAGCATAGGTAGAGTATATGTAAAAGTACAGAGGAGGAGACAGTAGGGTTTGCCTGGGGAATGTCATGTTGTTACAGTAGGGTTTGCCTGGGGAATGTCATGTTGTTACAGTAGTGTTTGCCTGGGGAATGTCATGTTGTTACAGTAGGGTTTGCCTGGGGAATGTCATGTTGTTACAGTAGGGTTTGTCTGGGGAATGACATGTGTGTGTGTCTGCAGCAGGCATCTAGCCTCACAAAGATGGGAAGTGAAACTGCAGAGGCAGCCCCTTGCCAGATGGGGATTGGACCTTGGGCATCGAACCAGGGAATGTGAGCATTATATTTCTAACTGTGAAGAGCAGTTGATATGTTTTTGTAAATGACTTGTTTTAACATTAATGCATACTTACAGAAAATAAGAAATATCAAAAAGCATGAAGAAGAAAATAACAATTACCTTTAATTACCCAGAACTCACCACTGTTAAGATTTTATTGGGATTTGACCTTTACTTTTATGCATATTCTCACCTAGAGTATGCTCTGTAAGTAAGTTTATATTCTCCCTTCACAGTTAATATTTAAACATAAACAATAATGTTATTGGAAGTTTTAAAATATTTTAATGGCAGCAAAAAATTCCATCATATAGATACCATATCACTTATTTAACTTTTTCCAAACAGGAAGAAATGGGGATAGGGAGATTTCCCTGTTACAAACGATGCCACAATGTACGTATGTGTATGAACTTAGTTTCTATCAGTGATTTTCATGATCAATACCAAGAAAGAAATTGGTGGATCAAGCAGCAAGGAAGTTTTATACTCGGTAAAACTGGCCAAATTGCTTCCTTCCTACCAGTTTATGTTTTCAGAGTGAAAGTATGCATGTCACATATTCCCTTCCCCAGCACTTGTTTTTGTTGTTGTTTTGTTGTTTTGTTTTGAGACAGAGTCTTGCTCTGTCGCCCAGGCTGGAGTGCAGTGGTGCGATCTTCAGTTCACTGCAACCTCCGCCACCCGAGTTCCGGCAGTTCTCCTGTCTTGGCCTCTCAAATAGCTGAGATTACAGGCACCTGCCACCACGCCCGGTTAGTTTTTTGCATTTTTAGTAGAGACGGGGTTTCACTATGTTAGCCAGGCTGCTCTTGAACTCCTGATCTCAGGTGATCTGCCCGCCTCAGCCTCCCAAAGTGCTGGGATTACAGGTGTGAGCCACCGTGCCCAGCCAGCACTTGGTTTTATAATGGGTGCCACTGAGGATTTTTCATATGGGGATGACATGATCAGATCTGCATTTCCTGGAGGCTGAACTGAAGGGGCCGGCTTGGAACCCGACTGTGTCCTCGCTTTTCCTCCGTTGCCTCCACATTCTCCTTTTGCCATCTTCCCATTTGTTATCTTCTTCTTTTCTTGGAGAGCTTATATTACGTGTTCACTACACACAAAACACTGTACAAGGCTTTGCTATCGAGAATAAATAAGAGCAGTGCTGAAACACCCAGCTCTGTGGTCCCATGCTACTGGAGAGACCAACACTATCGAGGCTGCGAAAAGCTCCTGCTGGCCCAGAGACCCTCTTCCTCTAGCTCTGGCCAAAAAGAGTCTCTGGACAGTAATTCTCCTTAGGAAAAAATACTTTTTATATTTTCCAATGAAATTGCCAAGAGGGTTGATTGTTTAATTAATTTTTTTCTTCATCCTGTGACTTTCCAACCCCACGCCTGATCATCCCTGTGCCTGGAATGTCCTTCATCCTTCCTCTTTCAACTCAAAAATACCTTGGCAGTCAATCATCCTTTAAGACCTTGTTGAGATGTCTGGGACACCTGCCTTCTGAACCTTGCCCCAGCACAATCAGTCACTCAGGTTCCCTTGATCCTGCTGTCCAATTACAGCCTTTTCTACACCTAACTCGGTTTCTCCTTCTTGGCTAAGAGCCTTCAAGAACAAAACATTTTGCATCCCAAGTCTTACAAGGCAGTGCCTGGCACTGAGTTGTTACTCTGCAACTGGTGAGTGAGTGAGTGAGTGAGTGAGTGAGTGAATTCCTGTTTTACTAAGGTGCATAGACATTCCATCTTAAATACTAATGACTGGAAGAGTATAAAGACAATATGGAGATGACATGAATTGCCAAAATCACACTCTGAATCATTGATGCTTAAGGTAAAACAGACACCTGGTATACCAGATGTCTAAATCTAAACATTAATTGTTCTATGTGCCTAAACACTGACTTGCATTCTGTTCTCTTTCATTTTAACTCCAAATTTAATTTGTACCTGAGTATCTCTGTGATAGAGGCAGTAAAGAGAATTAAGAGATGCCAGAATTTCCCAAAACACATTCCTAAAATATCGATGCTGTGGGTTGTTTATAGGCATCACACACACAAGAAAAGGGTCTCGTGGTCTAATGACTTCGAGAAACAACTTTGCATAGATTTCTTTACCTTAAGACTTCTCCTTAGGCATTCTAGGAAGTAGAAGGGAAGATCAGTTGGGCGACGGTAGAGAAGTAAAAGAGCAATCAAGTCCTGCCTCAGTGGTAGTTATCTCAGCCTCTCTATGCCAGGGAAAACGCAAAGGCAGAATGGCAAACAGTATGCCAAGATTCTAGCCCCTTTCCCACAAATCTCCTCAATCCCACATCTTTGTAAGCCCCTGCCCCCACCCACCCACCATGCTGATGAGATCAGCCTTCATTACTTCTCTTCTAGAGCCAGGAAGCAAGGTAATGTGTGGGAAGTGATAGCTGCAAGGTAACGTGTGGGAAGTGATAACAAGTTTAGAGTTAAAGCCATTCATCGGGAAAATTTGTTAAAAGACCAAGACATTGTAAAGCTGAAACACTTGAGTCTATTAAGTCCCCTGCTTCTTAGAACATTTTGTTACCAGGCAATAATGTTTCAAGGAGGGAAAACATTGAACTCACAGCACCATCAGACACCAAAGCCTGGTATGAAGAGCAACATTTTACAAGACAGATGTCTCTGCCACTCCAAGAGATTTCGGAAAAGTTCTGCTTCTTTTTTCTCCTCCTCTCTCCTACCCCAATATCAACCCCCAACCCCCCTCACCCCTAGACACACTCTTTACCTTTCTCTCCTCCTCCTTCCCCCACTGTTCCTCTCCCTCCTCCTCCTTTCTCTCTCTCTCCCTCTGCTTTCTGTCTCTTTCTCTTACACACACACACACACACACACAACACACACACACACATTCATAGCCCATGTTGTTTTCACAGACACTATTAGAATGATAAAGTGAGCCAGATCACCCAACATTATTCAACCCTCTTTGGTAAGAAGGAGGCTAATTAAATTTAGACATTCATTGTTTATTAGGTCCAAACTCCATCAGAGAGCCTGGAGCATTCTCCTACACAAACATTGCCCTTTCATGGCTTTTTATTCCAAGTCCAAATGAGATGGAGCGTTTAAGGAGATAAGTATCTTTTCACAGACATGAAGAAAGGAGCGCTAGGGGAGAATGTAATTGTCGATAGATGCAGTGGGGCAAAGCTATGTGCCTGCCATAGAAAGACTGATGCAAGCTGTGTATCTGTTGGCAGCTGATGTCCATTAGTGATCATCGGTAATTGACACTAGCAATGCTGACACATTTGTGGTAAGCCCAATGGTTTGTTTAACCGTCTTCACTAGAAATACATCCGCCAAGAGATTGTTTTTTAAACAATAGTTAGCCTTCTAAACAAGAGTAAAGACAAACTCAAATATCTCCTTGCCAATCTTAACACTGTTGTACGATACCAGGAGGCACTTTAGAAGACAGAAGCCACCTGTTAAATAAGCAAAAGCATTAACATAGACACAGTATTCTAGTTTGTGGATATTAAGAGGCTGTTAGTGATTAGCCACAACTTATGAGAAAGCTACTTTTGCCTGGATAGGTGAAGGAATGGAAGCATTTTAAAAATCTGCCTTTTAATTTTGCTTCTGTTTTAAAATACATGAAAGCTGTGCTGGAAAAGTGACTTTTGAGCCCAACATCAAACATTAATCCTGCTATTGCTTTCACAAGAAATTGGGGATGCACCACCCAAGCATCAGCAATTCAAAAGAAAAGGACCTCATCTAGGTTCTGAATGAGAAGCAACCGCCACTGTGTGAGACCTCCTCCTTCCTGCCCCTCCTTTTCTCCCGTGGGCTCACAGGATCTGCTGCTGGTTTTTTACTTGGCTTCAATTAGGCACCTGGTGTCCTGAAAGAGGTCACCGGTTTTCCAGAGGATGTCCAAGGAGGCTGGCTCACAGGTGGCTTACCACAGGCCAAATTTAAGGTTAATTAACCATCCGTCATTGTCAGCGAGGCCAAATGTGATTCAGACATTCAGAGAAGAGAGACTTGATCCAGCTTTGGGTAATGGCCTTCATCAACATTCTTTCCTATCCTAGTTCCAAACCAATATGTCTCTAGCTGCACTGGGCGGGGGTTGAAAATGATCAGAAATAGCTGGTTCGTCATTTATGTCACTCTTCGTTTGAAGAGGCTCTTGATACCTATTTATTGGATGCATATGATGTCTGAATCAAAATCTTTTTTCACTGATACTGACAATCTCTTCATGAAAAGGTAGATTTTTTGACCTTTGGGGAAACACCCTATTCAGAGTGAGTATGCAGAAGGTGTTTGGTGGGAGATAAAGGGATGCAGATATTGGGCATCTGGGGACCAGACTTTCTGGCCAGAGCCTGCCTGAAGAACAGAGAGATGTCTATGCACTACTTCTGCTGTCTCGCCCTGCAGACCTCAGTGACCAACTCCTTGAAGTGGTGGGGCTAGAAGGAGCCATGGAGATGGGGCAGATCTACACCGGCCTGAAGAGTGCGGGCAGAAGGCTGGCCCAGTGTTCCTCTGTCACCATCAGGTATGCCTCTTTGTCACCCAGCAGCCTCTGCGTCTCTCCACCTCCCTACATATTCTTGCAGACCACAACTAGAAGGCATCTTTGGATTTTAGGGCAGGGAGAGTGCAGCACAGAAGCTTGATGATGTGTGTAAGGAATGTCTTCGTAGACCATTTCCCAAACATGATGTAATGCGTCCATGTAAAATATCAACTGGAGGACCCCCCACAGCCAGTTTGCTGTTCCGTTAAAATGACCTGGTGAAATTCTCTAAACAGGAGTATAAGATTAAGTGGTCCAGAGAACCAAAGGTCCAACTCCTTGGCCTTTTTATATTTGCAAATTAAAATGTTAGATAGAGGGATGCCAGAGGGCATGTGCTGTTAAAAAAAAAAAACTATGTCTCTGCTCTGCTCTCCTCTTTCTCAGACAGTGACCTGAGAAACACTATTTCCTATATACCCTTGTATGCTAAGCCATCAACATCAGCAAAACTGGCATAGTTGACAGAGAGGATGGGCACGGACCACACAGGTTAGCCACTGCAGGCTCCTGGAAAAGATGAGGACTAATTGAGAGGATCCCCTGATCTGATTAATCAGTGCAGCTCATCACATTTTGTCTGAGATTCTTCTCCCACCTGATTATTTCAGAAGTCTTTATTCCTTTCTTTTTTACTGAATTACTATGGACCAAATCTATTAATATGCCTTGGGGATCTCCTAGCGGAGTCCACAGGATGCTGGGTTTCCCCAAGTCATTTGATCACAGAACTCTTTTCTCCTAGAACCTCCTGGGCAAGTGTCATCAGAGCACACTGGAAGGAACTCTGCCCTTAGCACTACGTGGCATTCCTCAGAAAGGTCCCCACAGGTGTCTTAGCTGAAGGTCTACTCCACTGACCCCTTTCTTCATTCCTTCTCTTTGTTTTCTGTCTTTTCTGTTCCCCAGATCTTTGCTCTCCTTTCTCTCTCAGCTGTGGTCATGATAGAGTCCCTGTTTTCCAGATTAATTCTTGAGCCCTGTCCATTCTCCAGGACTCTAACACTGAGTAGGTCCAGTCTGTTAGCACATCTAAGCCATAACTTATGAAGACCACAGAGATCATAACAGCCTCATCCTTGAGGAATCCAAGAAGCCATCTATAAGGAGAAGGACTTTTTCTTCACATTCAGTAGCTTTATTTCCAGGTAGAAACAGAGGGGGTGAGCCAGGAGCCCCATCCCCCTGGCCATTTCCTAAATACCAGCCCCAGCGTCAAGAACCAAAAATGTCACTCTTTATTCCTGTTCTTGTTAGTGGATTTATTGTTTTCATTATTAAATACCCTCAGGGTCAATCAGAGAATCATCACATCGGAACACAGCTTTTCCCTCCCATTTTATAATTTCAAGAACAGAATAGATGCCACACCCAGGTGAGGGCATCTGTGTCCATGGATAGTAACTGTTCCGTGCTCACCCAGACGAGAGGCCTCCAAAAGGGCCTGCCTTTTCTTCCAAAGGCAATGTCGTATGAATTCATAACTCTTCTACAGAAGGAAGTCAGAAGACCATCTCTGTCCTTTTAAAACCTATGGCGGGGTGTGGTCCTATAATCCCAACACTTTGGGAAGCTGAGGAGGGAAGATTGCTTAAGGCCAGGAGTTCAAGACCAGTGGGGGCTACATGGCAAGACTCCCTTCTACAAAAGATTTTGAAATTAGCCATGTGTGGTGATGTGCACCCATAGTCCTAGCTATTCAGGTGGTTGAGGTGGGAGGATTGCTTGAGCCCAGGAGGTTGAGGCTGCAGTGAGCTATGATCACATGACTGTATTCCAGCCTGGGAAACAGAGTGAGACCCTGTCTCTTTTTTAAAAAATTCATATGCCAAGGCCAGAAAAGCCTTGTCTCACGCAAGAAGGCAGCACTTTCACCTCTCCTCTGGGGACAGTATTCCTGGATGACCCCCTTTCCCAGGTAAGCCAGGTCCACAATCCATGCAACCCCAGAGTGTACTTGTTCAGGCAATTTTTCTAAAGGATTAAGGTTAGAATAGATTGCAGGGCAAGACACACTCAGGCCTGAGCTGTACGTTGTATAAATTGGAGACGTTACCTCATTGACATGATGCAACCTCTCACTCAACATAGAGACCAGGCCAGTTCCCCTTTCAGAGTGGAGTTTTTGGCACATCCTGCGGGCCTTCTAGCTGATTGTTTGAGGAGCATCTGCTCAGCAGTGGTGCTGCCATGTTTGCTGGCCACTGTATCCCAGACTTCTGTGGATTTCATTGCTCATCCATAGCTGTATTTCTCAAAGTGAGGTCCGAGGACCAAGGCAGTAGAATCCCCTGTCATGCTTATTAAACACAGACCCCTGCCTGGGACTGGCCCCAGATCCGCCAAGTTAGACTGCCTGAGGTGGTCTCAGAAATCTATTTTTAACAAATTCTCCAAAAGGGTCTTACAGGACCATTCTTAGGTGGGCAGATAAGGTTTTTCTACTTCTGTTTTCCTGTTGGGAACACCCTTGATTCTCCAGCTTGGAAAATCTCACTGTGTCCTCTTGGTGTTCTGGGTTCCAGGACAAACAAGCTGCTGCCAATGCAAGTGGATGGAGAGCCCTGGATGCAGCCACGTTGCATGGTGAGTCTTGCCAGTCTTTCAGATGGGATGAGAAGCTTTATTTTTGAGCCCTTTGGGGCACTGACTTCATATGAAATCACTGAATCTCAGAGTTGCAGGGACCATGGAAGATTATCTAGTGCAACTCCTCTTCCACTTTATTTATCCATCCACTCATTTACCTGCCAAACTCTTACTGAACACCTGCTGTATGCCAGATACTGTGAGGCACCAGTCATAAAACTGAATGAGACGTAGAACCCACTTTGAGGAGTTCGCAGTTCTAGTCAGTGAATTCTGAGACATCTACTATATCCTGGACTGCCTCAGTAGGAATCATGCCCGTGGCAAGGAATTTGCTACCTCCAAAGGAAGATTGTTCTGCTGATGAACAAGTCACGTGGTTGGAAAGTGCTTCCTTATGTGGAAGCCAAATCTACACGCTTACCTTACCTAGAATTTGGTAGGGTAGCTCCTCTCACTGCTGGTGCTCCTGGGAGAAAATTCCTCGCGATGCACAGATATTCCTCTCCCCTGGTGCACCCATAGCCCTGATAACCAACGCGAAACTTCCACTGAACAGGCCACCACACAGGCTATCTATTTGTTTATGGCATTATCACCCAACGTAGCACAGGGCCTGGTTTATGATAGTTGCACAATAATATGTGTCGAAGGATGAACAAATGAACAAGAGTATCTCCATTCCCAGACGCACGGTATGCGTTAGCTCTCCCTCTCCCTTTAGCGCTAGTGCGGGAGCCATGCATCCTTTCTTCTTAGTTTGTCCTCAGTTAGAAACGCAGCTAGAATCTCTGTGGTGAATAGCGAGCATTGTCCTGGTTTTCAGGGCTTCTGCTGGGAGCGTAATACCCTCAATAAGAGTGCAGCTATGCGAGTTTCACAAGACAAAAGTTGCATTTCTAAGCTCCCTCACTCTAGTGGAGTATTCAGCTACTTTGATCAGCTGCTATTTCGAGCCCTTCGGTACATCAAGTTGCCTTCTACTAGAGAGAGGGTTTCCATGAACCTGCTGAGAAAAGGTAGCATCTTCTGTAAAGGTTATCAAAAACAGAAATTTCTCTGCAAAAATCTTACCTCAATCTTATGAAGACTAAGAAAAAACAGATGAAAACACACTATAGCAAATAACAGCTTTCCACCTTGCTGGAGTTAGGAAGGATGGAGGGAATTTCTAGTATTTATCATTTGATGGAACTGAGCTGAGAAGAATCTATCCAAGCTCCTCCATCTCCCCCCCAAAAAAGCTGAAAGAAATCAAACCCTCTCCTACCTGGTTCAGTGCTTGCTGAAAATTGGATTGCCATTCCTATAAATTCAAGCACTGGTTTTTGAAATAGCCAAATCCGTCTTACGCCCACACCCACCCTTCCTCCATACCCCCCTTTAGAGATTACAACTCACTAGGAAAAAATCTGTGAACCAATGATTTCATAGTGTGAGGTCCAGAAATCCATATATAAAGGTGCATTCATCTGCTTTGACTGCCATAATGAATGCCACTGACTGGCCCCATAAACAACAGACATTTATTTTCTCACAGTTCTGGATGCTGACAACAAAGACCAAGGTGCCGAGAGGGCTGGTTTCTGGGGAGGCCCCTCTCCCTGACTTCCGACGGCCGCCGCCTTGTGGTACCCTCACATGGCCTTTCCTTTGTGTTTGCTCACTCCTGTTTTCTCTTTCTCTTCTTATAAGGACACCAGTCATAAGGGATTAGGGCCCCACCCTTGTGACCTCATTTAACCTTAATTACCTCCTTAAAGGCCCTATATACCAATACAGTTACATTGGGGATTAGGGGTTCAACATATGAATTTGAGGAGGACACAATTTAGTCCATAACAGAAGGTAACAGAAAATCATTCTTAAATTTGCAAGGGTTAAAATTCACGTACCCCTTGGAAAAACATCTTGAAGGTACACACCAACTAAGTGATTCAAAATTAAAGCCTTTTAAGATGGGCTATCACAGCACAAAAGAACTTTTGGTAAAAATGGAAACTGGTGAAATTAGAATGAAGTTTCCAAAAACCTGTTAAATATGGTTATGCAACTAAATGCAAATGGCAAAAATCATTCTTTGAAAGAGAAGACATATCGTGTCAACATTGATAACCTGTATCCCAAACCCACGATTATATTACCAAAGGCCAAAAACACGTGGAAGACACTGAAGAAGGAATTGTAAAGAAACATGAAGTTTCTCATTGCCTCTCTTCACTTTGATGATAAAGCATATAAATCAGAAGATAATTTTAATAGGTAGACAATCACTAGTGAAACTAAAAATAGGGCACACACCTATTTCCATTCCATTCTCTCAAATCTGGAAGAATTTAAAATATATAAACCTTGTCAATTTAGCACGGAATAGAAAGCAAATAATAAGCCAACATTCAAAAATTTTTGGAAGCAAGTTGAATGAGGTTAACAGTATATACATATATACATATAAATACTGAAAAGAAAAATAGATGAGTTAAAGCTCTCTATTAAAAGACCAATACTCTCATATTGAGTTTTGAGTTAAAAATGAAAACCCAAATATATACTTCTTACAAAAGACACATCTAAAATAAAAGGATATACATATGTATATATAATATATATCTTCTTATTTTATCCTTATTCAGACACAGAGAAATTAAAAGGAAGAAATTGTCATGTTAATTATGCTAATTTTAGGCAAACTAAGCTTCCCTTGTGCCAAAAGCATAAAGCAGAATAAGTTAAGGCATTTTTTATTTGATAAAAAGCACACTCAATTATGAGATATGGTGGTCATAACATGTTAGATATTTAATAACAGAATAAAAATATAATGTGAAAAAATGTCAATATATTATACTTTGAAAAATATATATATACTGTGAAAAAATAATATCGATATATATTCTGAGAAAAGGTCAATATAGAAGAAGTTGACAGATATTGAGAAGCTTTAAAATATTTCTTTCCATTTTTGAAGTTAAGTAGCAAAAAAATAAATGATTGGCTAAAATAACTCTATAACTCATAAAGAAATTAAATATCATATTTGTTCAAGCATTCGCATTTACTAAAATAGATCAAAAACTAGTTTACAAGTGATAAAATCTCCATAAAATCCTGTTGCAGAAATTATAAAGGTCATTTTCTTTGACCACAAAACAATAAAACTAGAAATTACTAATAGAAGATTAAGTGAATAAACAAACAAAATGTAGTCACTTAGAGACTTAAAAATTCTCCTAAAGAACAAGAGTTTCATGAGGAGATCAAAGCCACCATGGTTCATTACTCAAAAAATTACAAAAATAAGAAGGCTCCAGTTAAAAAATTATAGAATAAGCAGGGTACGGTGGCTCACACCTGTAATCCTAGCACTTTGGGAGGCCGAGGCGGGTGGATCACGAGGTTAAAAGATCAAGACCATCCTGGCCAACATGGTAAAACCCCATCTCTACTAAAAATACAAAAATTAGCTGGGCATGGTGGCGCATGCCTGTAATCCCAGCTAGTCAGGAGGCTGAGGCAGGAGAATTGTTTGAACCAGGGAGTCAGAGGTTGCAGTGAGCAGAGATTGGACCACTACACTCTAGCCTGACAACAGAGCAAGACTCCGTCTCAAAAAAAACAAATTATAGAATATAGACTAAATTATATTTAGAAGTAAATTCAAAGCCTCATAATCTTCCATCATATAAAAAAGAAATAAAATGTAATGAATAATACCAAAATTAGAAGAGCAATAATAAAACAGAGAAGAAGCAAAAGGAAGAAAATAATAAAGATAAAAGTAGAAATTAAATAATTAAAAACAAGAAAATCTAGAGCTAGTTCTTAAAATATGTCAAATGTTTGAAAACCTAATTTTTAAAAGAGAAAGAAATCAGAGATATTAAAATGCAAAAAAATAAATGTGATATAAAATATGAATATAAATGTGTCAATGGCTTTGTTTAAATATAAATATAAAATAAGGCCAGGTATGGTGGCTCACGCCTATAATCCCAGCACTTTGGGAGGCTGAGGAATGAGGATTACTTGAGGTCAGAAGCTTGATACCAGCCTGGCCAACATGGCAAACCCCATCTGTACTAAAAATACAAAAATTAGCCAAGTGTGGTAGCGCATGCCTTTAATTCCAACTACTCGGGAGGCTGACATATGAGAGTTGCTTGAACCCAGAGGTTGCAAATGAGCCAAGATCATGCCACTGCATTCCAGCCTGGGTGATGGAGTGAGACTCGGTCTCGAAAAAAAAAAAAATTATAAAACAAAATATATAGTCATCTTGATTCTAATGAGCTTGAACATCTTAAGAAGATGAATGAAAAGCCAGGTAAGCATTAATGAAACAAAATTATTTCAAAGAATTACACACTAAATGATCTTAAAACAGATGGCCTTATTGGTGAGCTCTTCCATACTATTAGGAAATATATGTTTCGGTAAACTGTTTCATAGTATAGACAAAGATGGAAAGCTACTCAACCCATTTTATGAAATGAAGACATGCAATAACCTAACAAAAATTACGTTTAAAAATAGAAAACTACAGACCAATTCCAAATATAAATATGACATAAGAATTCTAGTTAAAAGTGTTGGTAGGTAGAGGCTGGGCACTGTGGCTCACTCCTGTATTCCCAGCACTTTGGGAGGCCAAGGCAGGAGGATCACAAAGTCAGGAGATCGAGACCATCCTGGCTAACATGGTGAAACCCTATCTCTACTAAAAATACAAAAAAAAAAAAAAAATTAGCCAGGCGTGGTGGTGGGCACCTGTAGTCCCAGGTACTCAGGAGGCTGAGGCAGGAGAATCACTTGAACCCAGGAGGTGGAAGTTGCAGTGAGCGGAGATCACACCACTGCACTCCAGTCTCACAACAGACGGAGACTCTGTCTCAAAAAAAAAAAAGTATTGGTAGGCAGAATTGAACAGTGTATTAAAAGAATCATTCACCCCTCTGAGCATATCAAAGGAATGAAAGAAAGTCTTCTAATATTAAATA